GATTGTTAGGGCGTTGGAGTTGTTGGAAGTGGTGCAGCGGGACCCAGCCAGTTCTACCCAGCCGCGACCATGGACCCTCACAGGGTGCTCGGATCCTCAGATGGAGGGGTTCGGTTTGGGGTCTCAAACCGGTTTTGAGGGATCAAGGGGCTGTGAACGGAGCGTTTGGGTACAACATCACAGCTATAGTCTATATAGTCTCTTGCCTATAAGGTCTCTTGCTGAATGTTTCTGATTGAATCCAAAGTACCGGGAGTTCCATGTCAGTCGGGGCGACAGTACCGGGAGTTTTATTGAGATGTGGACGTCGGGAGTGCCTGACTTCCTCTTCCTCCCACTTCCCTCCGGGACTCGAGAACCTGGTACAATCCTGCAACCACCCAAAGGACGCTAAACGAGTTCGGAACCTTCGCATCACCACCGGCGCGTTCGGACGTTACTAGTAGCGCTCCCAGTACTAGTATGTACTAGTAGCACGCTCCAGCGCAGGAGCTGCTAGCAACCCATCTGTCGCACTGGGGGACCCTTCGGGACGACGACCTGAACGCCTGCCAAAACCGTGCCAAGATGTGCGTGCATGTGTGCGTGTGTGTTTGGATGAGCACACCACATGAAGACACGATTTTCCTGGGACTCCCATATATGCCGATCAGTTGGGGTGGTTTTGGGGGTCAATGTAGGCATATATGGCATACATGGAGTCTCTGGGTACCATCATTTACCCCATTTATGACATGTCATGCAGCTTGCCAGCTCGCATGGTGTTGCCACGACTTTGAGACCCAAATCGAGTTCGGTCGGTAGAAAACACCGGCCACCTCGTGATTTTAAGTCCGTCCGACCGCGCGACGGAAGCGTCCGGCGTCCGACGCGTCGTGTGCATTTGTATGGCGCCTTCCAGAAGGGGTTGAGAAGGCATGGCCATGGAGAAAGAAAGCGGAAGGTCGAACAATTCTATTACACTCCCTAGAACTAACATGGCCATGGTGGTTACGTGGAGAATGGGTCCGAAAGGGTCCGACCATGGAATCCGAATCCCAGTTGCAGCAGGGGGGTGCCATCCACTTCCACCATGTTCGTTGCAGGGAGAGTATAGGGAAAACAACTCCAAGCATCTCGAGCCGCTCTTTTTTGGAACCACTCGGATGTATGTACTCGCTGATATAGCTCGTACTCGGATGCATGTTCAGCTCTTCAACTCATATATAGGTCGACAAGGCACGGTTCGCCGTACTTCAATTCCCAGTACCAGCAAAGGATGAAGAACCCTATAGGCTATTCTATAGGTACCCCAGTAAGGTCCTATTTAAGGTCACTGAACCTCTGTTGAAGCCTATCCGCCCGCGCCCAACGCATCCGCCCGCGTTCCTTCTCCACGCCCAAACCGCGCTCGTTTCGAGCGAGGAGGTTGCCGGCAGGTATTCGGGGGGCCTCGCTGTCAGCCATGAATCCGCAGGAAACGATGGAGATCCAATAAGAGAATCAGACTCTCCCGAATGGGTGGGTTCTTTCCCGGAGATGTTGGGTGTTAAAATTGCTTAAAATTGCTTCTTTTTCAGAGAGCACTTGGAAATAAGAACCACTATTCCCGTTCTGTTGTTTCGAACGTGTACCAGCGCCTTCAAAGGGTCACCAATGGAAGCCCCTACACCACTAAGGGACCTCCATTGGACACCCCTTGAAGGTCCAGGTATGTTTTTGTTTTTCCCAGATTGGAAGCTGGCATCACGTCCACCTACGGCGTCGCCACCCAAGTCGCGGCGGCAATGTCCTCCGATCGCGCCGCGGTCGACCGTTTAGACGGTCTGCCGGCCTGTGCTGTACACAGAGGCTGGACAACTGCCAGCGATCTCCATCCACAGGGGATCGACCCAAAGAAACCATGTAGTAGCTTGATACCTACCAGGGCCCAGTCCAGGGGTGTCTAAGTATAGCTCCTTAGAGGGGTATCCATGAATCCCATGGCCTAGGGGCCCTGGTATGTGTTTTTACAGATGTTGTTCCAGGGGATTCTTTGTAGAAGGATGTTGTGCTAGTATATGGTGTAGTACAACTTCGAACAATTTAGTCTTTGTGGTTTTGTCCCACCTCAATGATGGTCAGATGTACATAGATGTACTGATTCGTCTTCCTTTTAAAGAGGAGATGGCCATATGCACACGGGTCCGATCGGGGGACCCACTCAAGACATCAGTGGACATCGGTGGATCAGTCCAACAGGTGGACTCGGACCGAGCTGATCCTTCCATCGAACGAGTGAAACTATCCGTCCCCCCCCAATTCCACCATCCTGCTCTTTCTTTTAAGATTGTTGGACACAATGGATTGGGTCACATCATTGCTATATATATATATAACTATAGACCCTAGAAGTCCAAAGACTATATTTTGACCGGCTGAAGTAAAGGAAGTTCCCTTTCAGGTCCCCTAAAGACCATTCTTTTTATAGTCTTTGACTCCCAGGGTAGATGTTTTCAGACTGACCCGATGCATGACTACCCATTTTGTGAAGTCGACATCCATGTGAGTCCGCTTGATACATTGTATTTGTTGATATTTGTTGAGCGCGTGCTCTTCACCCACCATGTTTGTGGCCAAACTAGTTTGCCAGCCGTATGTGTTCCGTTCTCTCGCTCACTTTGAAGAACTATCAAAGAACAGTACAGCTTCCTGCAGCACCAAAGAGGCAAACATTAATACTACTCCAGCCTGATGTGAGAATCATATGAATCATAACACTTATTATGGGCAATATAGAGAGAGAGAGAGAGTAGACGTCTTCTGGACAGTGGCTGTTGTATGTGTGCTGGATTGTCTTACTGGTGAAATACCGAGGGCACACATTTGCAGTGCTTGTGTTTGATAAAATGTGATCTTTACTCTGTACTATGAGAAGCGAGGCTCACTTGAAGCCTTGGCTTTCAAACAACTAGAGGAAAAAACACAGATGGCCTTTGGCTGGTCTCTGATGGGCTAGTTGCTAGGTGTCTTTCGTTTGGATCATAAATATAGAAGAAATGAAGCTGGAAGGTGTTGGTGTTACCCATGAACTTTCGCATGGGTAACACCACAAGACTGCTCGCCCCTGCATTTCATGGCCCGTCCTGGGCAAGAAATCAGATTGGAAGGTTTCATGTTCTGTGGGATTCCAAAACGTTTTTGTTGTCCCCATTGGACTTGCCTTAAATGACTAAAGAGGTGCACGGTGCACTGGACTGGCAGTTGCTCTAGTTTTGCAGGAATCTCCACTTGCTCAGCTTGAGCGGCTTGCGCTCGTGCAGTGTGGATTCCTGACAAAGTCCCAACCATTTGTTGATAATGTTTGCCACGTCAAAGGCGCTGTCCTAAGTTCTTGCTTGGGTTGCCATGGTTGCCATCCCATGACTGCACGTTCGTCGGGAAACCAGAGCTACGAAGGAACCTTGGCACTGAATCAGAGCAGAATCTCGCAAAAAGGCTGAGCATCCTCGTCTGCGAGAGTGAGCTGTTCGAGCGTTAGAGTGCGTTGGTCAGAGTGAATGGAGTTCCGGATCTTCTGGAACGCTAGATCTTCCAACAAAAGAACATCAACAAACGTCGTATTCCCATTGTTTCACTCTTGCCATAGACCCTATGGATCCACATACCGAACCTGAGAGATACGGTGATTGGAGGACTATTGAACTGGACAGGCACCAGGAACTGTAGGCACCAGTCGATGCCTGGGTTCACGGTCGCCTCTGCCCTGGTTGGGCGGATATTCGGGTTGAATCCGTGAGCATGGAGAAGAGTTTTGATGAGTTTTGTCTCTGTTTTCCGTGGCTCCTGGGAGCCACAAATCCAAGAGGTGTTGTTGTACTTGTAGGTCTAGGTGTTCTTGCCGTCACGGTAGGGCATTCTGGCGCGTGACGTAGGCGTTCCTCACTACAAGCAGCAGTTGGGTGGACAAAGGAGTGGTAGCCTTTTGGGGGGAGTGAGTGACATGAGTTTCAAATATAGTTTCAAATACTTTAGAGCGGGCACTAGCCTCATGGTGACATCAAAAGCAAGTACCTTCTCAGGTGATTGGAGACACTGTTATATCTGTTATGTAGATTTGGAGGGTCCAAGTGCCAAGTGCCTTCTGAGAAGGTACGACTGGATCGCTAGGCATGCAAGCATGTATTTTTATTGTGCCTCGGCGTTTTGGACCCTCGAGGCTGGCAGCTTAGCCGCTCTTGTGAAAATGGGCGGAATTATTTGCCTAGTGAAGTTAGGCAGTTGTCTTTTTTGTCTAACGAGGTTCTAGGTAGAACCTACCTAGAACAGACCCCTGTTTGGAGCCAAGACATCGTCTTTTCCGATCACACAGGGGTCATGTCTGGGTTCTAGGTAAATAATTACCTAAATCTTCCAACTATGCAACATGTTTGCCTTTTGCCTGTTTTTAAGAATCATACATAGTTCGAACATCCAGGTATGGCTTCAAGCGGGCACACTGGATATACCTCCACCGGCTCGACCCTGCCATGGGGCGGTGCTGCGTGTCAACCTTGGTGCTTCCTTCGTGTGTGCGTTTCGTTGGAGCTCCTTGGAGAGAGGCAGTCCTGGTCGGATGATCATTCCCAGACACGACAGATTTGGGAGTGGTATCCTTGCCGAGTTTCTCGGTCAGGGTGGTGAAAGCGGACTCAATGTTAGCTATTCCAAGTCCTTGGAGTGTCTGCGGTAGGCATATATTCCGGTCCGAGACAGAATTTCAGTACTTTGACCAAAGCGATTCCAACTCCAAAGCTGAGGTGGTGTTTCCAGGTGTTTGTGAAATCATGTCAAGAATCGGAGGGTTTTGAACCGAACAGCCGGACAGTGCCAGCGATCTGAGAACCGATTCCGCTCCAAAGCTGGGGCGTTGTCATGGCAAGAAAGACATTGGGTTAGGGTACAAATGTCATTCATATAAAGTAAGGAGGTTGTAATACGTGCCTTCACCAACCTAAACCAAGTCCCTTGGTATCTTGATGGATATTGATAGTATTGTAGTTAATTACATAAATTATATACTATAATTAATTACTAAAGAAATTACGTATAGTGATGTTCTTTCGAGATTGCTCAGCTGGTAAGGAACCAGTGGCCCCTAGTGATCCCTTCCATGGTTTTCACCATGTGCTGTTCGACCTCCTTCGGGTTGAAGGAGGAATGTCTTGTTTACAAACAAAGATGCAAATATTTACAAGCACGTAAATAAAAACACAATCTATAGTATACAGGACATGTCTAAATCTAAACACGACTCTTCATCTGCTGTCGCTGCCTGCCTTGAGGGCCATTTCGGACTCAAACGTACGCGTCCCGCACCGTCTAGCACCGCATCGACCTCTCAATGGGATGCCACGCGAGCAAAGTGCAAGATGAGACCTGCGTGACATGGAAGGCGAGGTCTCCGAATCACTGGTTCATCTCCGGTTTTCTTTGGGATTTGCAGGTTCAGAAGTTCGCAGCGCCAGCGACAGCGGGTCTTTTTCTGCTCAAGCCCCAAGCAGAGCCCTCAGCGCAGAGCGCGCTCTGCATGTTTTGAAATCGGATCTGGGAAGGCGACGGTTGGATCATCGGATGGTTGGATCCGTTTCGAGACATAAAGGGATCCCCCGTTACGTGACACAGTTTTGTGGACTTGAACATTCGTGTGCTTTTCTATATCGTGTATAATATATATGAAAGTTACATGTTATTACTGTTTTGGTTATAGAGTGAAAGTGCTCGATGCCCCAGTTTGGAGTTGTTGCTTCAATATGTTTGTTGGCATGTTGTTGAAACTTCTAGCACTTTTGTTTTAGTTTGTCTGTCTCCGCGCTACAAAATTCAATGGGGCATCGACAATTACAGCACCGAAGCGGGCGGGGGCTGGAGCGCAAACCTCTTCCGCACGTCCGGCAGGACACGCATGGCTTTGTTTCAAGGGAGTCCTCTGTGGAGGGTCCATCACCACGCTTGAGTTTTCGCTCCATGGATGGGGTGCGCATCTACCGAGAGGCGGAGATGTGTTCTTGTTTCTTTTCTTCGCTAGAACACCGTGCAGGCGGTCCGTTTGGTGCGTCTTGCTTGGGGTCTACTGGTCTGTTGGGTCTATGGGCCTGGCCCGGTCACGTTGGGTTCCGTAGAGCTTGAGATCCGAACTCGGATCGTTGCGACTGGTGGTGATCGTTGCTTGTGCCGGCCCTGAAAAGAAAACGCAGGATGTGCCCTTTATAAAGAGGATTTTCCAATTCAACTGGGTTTATTCATCAAGAGTCTAGTCTATACACGTTCAAATTTCCCGAGATGCCTTCCTTTTTGGTCAAGGGACCCAATTCCGGCGGAGTCACCGATGGATTTGTTAGAATACATGAACCGAAAGAAATGTTAGGGTCGGCTTCAGTAACTCCTTTCCATGGAATCCCGGGATCTCAAGCGTTGGTCTCCGCAGCACGGGGGGCTTCCTCCAGGGGGACGCGCCGCTCCCGCCGATGAGAAGCACTCACCAACGGCATCTCACGAAGTTTGATAGCTTCCTGCAGAGACTTGGAGATGTTCTTTAAGGTTTGGAGACTTTGAACTTCTATCATCCAGGGGTCTGCTTCGGTTGATGTTGTTCCACCTTCTACGTCATAAGACGTCATAAGTCATTCATACTTGTAAGTTTAGTTTTGTCCGGATGGTTTGTCTATATATCCAGATCAACCATGATCGACCCATGGGTATCTCACTCATGGCCTTTAAGGATCCCCTTTTATAGTAGGTGAGTTACCAAACGACTTGGGTAATCATATGTGTAATCATATCATCATCTCAGTTTTTCCCTTCCCGGAAGTTGTCCCAAAACTCAACCAGTCGAGTGAACTTCAAAAATTGCAATGAGAATCTGAGAATCTCAAACGTTGAAGGCTTGACCAGTTGATACAGCTCAAGAACCCACAGGCGGAGGATGTGGAGGGATGTAGATAGTGCCCTGGAAAATAGACTAGGCTCCAAAAGCAACATGAGTCAAGTTGATACAATCCCTACAAGTCCAAAGACCCATTAAATCCTAGTCGTTTACCTCATTGAGTAGTGCTTTTGACCATCTCCAGTAAAATGAGGTCCTTGAGACGTGAATCTGTACAAACCATTCTTCGGCCGTTTGTGATAAATGATGCCTGTTTTATCCTGTTTTCGCCAAACATGCGAGCCCCCCTGCTTCCGTTTCTCTCCAGAGGCCCCCTGCTCTGGCAGCGATGAGGTGGGCCAGTGATTGACAAGGGTATGTACACCCCCAACAAGTATGGACAATGGCCGGTTGTCCACTTCCATTCCCTAGGGCTCCTGTCCCATATCCTCAGGTTCGGTGGTTAGACCCCCAGGCACCCACCCCAACCAGCTTCTCAGGAAGCAGTTGGAGGTTTAGGGATTACTATTCTCTAAGGTCCGGTATTAAAGGAGAGAGACCCCCCGGCAACGAGCCCCTGGAAGGTTCGCATCCATTTCGTTCAGGGCTCTCCCTATTGAAATCAAGTCCATACCCACACGAGTCATGGTTCCTGCGACGTGAGCCGCGGCCTTAGGAAGCTTGATCAGAACAAGCTGGATCAGTTGATCCACCAGAAGCGTCGCACTCATGCTCGCAGACAGGAGCCTGGCCTTCGAAGATGGTTTGATGTTGGATGGGTTGTTCGACCAAACGAGGTGAGTGAGTTCGCGCAGCGAGGTGGATGTTCATGTTTGTCACGGCGTCACGTCGTGTTCTCTGAGCAGAGAGGCATTGTCACCAGGGTGATCAATGCGATTGGCTCATATTGGCGGGGGTGAACATGAGGATCCAACAGTTGGCGGGTAGAAAGGAATTGGGTAACGCTCCCAGGAACAGCATGTGAATGGCTGCCAAAACGACGACAAAGTCCCTGTCGTAGGTAGTGAACTCCACTTCTTGCATTTCAGGGAGTTGTGACAGTGACAGCGGTGGAGCAATCCAAGCGGATTTGTGTTTCCCCTTGAGCCATCCACTTGAAGCATAAGCAACGGGCCCAAAGCATTCAGAGCTCATCTAGATTCCCCTGTGGTTAGAATTGGTCTGAGCCAACTTTGAGGAGCCGGAATCAGCATGCCTCGGTCTACAGGGGAACCGAGGTCAACGGTGTTTGCGGTCGGCTGAGGAGAAGAGATGGAGCCAAATGGATGATTCACTTGAAGTCTCCCTCAGCATTTGAGCTCGCCATAGTCCGGTCATGCATGGATTCCGCAAATTCAGTGTTTCCGCCTCCACATCTACCTTGAGTCTCCAATGACCCTTTTAAATTTGCCTTTCCAAGAAAAAGAGGTTTTTGAAAGAAAGCACTCTTTTTTGCATATGTCACGAAATGTTCCTTTTTTGTTTGTGCCCTGTCAGATCCTCCTTAGACAGTGTCCTGAGACCTTTTTTCGGCGTCCAAAACGCGTCTTTTTGCGTCCAAAAGGCGTCTTTAAGCGTCCGTGCCGGACGCGTCCGGATGAAGATTCACTCTGCACCTTTTTTTGAGTCCTCATCTCTAAAAACGCGTTTTTCGAGCAAAAACGCAAAAATATTAGACCAAAAACAAAAACGCAGAAAAAAAAAGGTCTTTGGAGACTCAAGGTACACAGAATAAGATTTGCTGGGCCGTTTGTCCTGGCTTTTACAAGGAGTTGCTGGATCTTACTCGACTAACATGTTCTTTTTAAGCTTGCTCAGGCCGTTTGGTGTTCTTATGTTTTCGTTCAACCGATTGTGCGGACAACACTGAACTTTGAACGTTCTCAATGTTTGTGATGCTTCCAACCCTCGGAACCCGCACCTGTTGATCAAGCCGACAGGCGACCACTTGCGGTGCTCCGGGATTGAGGGAAATGGCATGTTTCAATGGAATCCAGCAGTGTTTCGGCCGATTTCAAGAAATTGACCAATCTGGATGCTTTGAGAGGAAATGTTTAATGTGCTGGCTTGGCAGGTGACGAGAAGTAGACCGACGCAGGGGCCAGTCTCCGGCTTTCAACTGTGTCATTTATTGGTAAGCCTGGTAAGCTTCACTGGGGTGTGTCCCACGACCAGCGATAATCACTATCGTTGGCATCCACTCCCATCAAAACCAATCATCATGTGTTGCTGGTGGGCTGGGATATATACCCATACCGTGAATGAATCTCTTCGTGTTGGCCAGGCAGCTTTTTTTAGCATTGCCCAAACAACAGGCCCTCGAGCAGATGCAACGCGTGTCGCGGGTCACGCTACGAGTTGGAACCTTGTTTGCTAAGTGTCACATGGTTCCCGTGCAGTGTGCTCGGACCTTCAAAGCGCCAGAATGTCCTAGAACCTAGACTTCCAAACAAAACATGTGAGATAATATGCAAAAGAACAGGTGTGTGTCAGTTGGGTGATTGTTCCAGGATTGGTGACGAGATTTGATTCGATTTTGGACGACTTTGAAGGTGATTCGCTGGATGTTGCCGATGGCCTTTTCCTTCCTTTCCATGCGTTACACGGACTGAGGTGTTGCAAGGTATTGTGCATCGATTTGGGCATGAATCAGCTGCCTATTTGGCAGACAATATACCGAGGGCCGCAGTCTATGAATGGATTGAGACTAGGCGTGGAGGAATTCAATGTACTGAGCATATTCATAGATACCCTGCAAGTCCGAAGTGCAAGTTCATCGGGTACCTTTCAGAAGGATCAAGTTTCACCAGTCGCTCTTCTCGCACGACATCACCGTGTCGCTCCACATCACCACGCCGCCATCGATCCTGCCAACAATGCGCCAAAAATCATGCAACCGTTCCAACATGTTTGCATGTATTTGACATACAAATATGGGTTGCTCAGGGAGAGAAACCACATCAAGGCCAAAGTTCACATAGGTGCCCTTAATTGCGTGATTTTGTTTTGCTTATGGAATCAATTAACTGCCTGTCCTTCAATCACAGTGTAAGTTGAATTCCATTTAACACACGGTTTGCTCAGGGAGATAACCACATCCAGGCCAAAGTGGACAGAGTTCCTCTTAGGCACAGCACAGGGAGACGACCCAATCAAGGCCAAAGTGCAGGGTTCCTCATAGTGGGTCTTGGCTTAGCCGCTTGCCATCGAACTCAAGGCCAAAGTGCACAGAGTTCAGGGAGACAACCAACCTGTCCTTGGAATGCGTTTCTACATTTCAGCCTCAGCTTGGCCATTTTGCAGAGGGACTCTCGTTGTGTCTGTGTCTTCTGCTGACTGCCCTCGATAGCTTCTTGATCATCCCAATGGTGTCCTCCTCCGAGAGGCAGGGCATGAACCGTCTGTTGATTTCTGAAAGCGCCCCAATGATGGTGTGAGGGCCCTGGGGGTTGCCAAAAATAGCAAGGAACAGATTGCCCAATGCAAGTCCTGCTGGCTACTTTGAAGCATGTGGTTCTGCAGAAAGCGCTTGGCAGCATTGTGGATGGCACCAGCCTGATCCCTGGTCCTAAGCATTCCTGATTTCTGCTGTGGTTCTTGGCTTAGCCGCTTGCCATCCGCCATGTGTAAACTGAAAATGAACATAAAATAAAGACAATTCATTGAACAACGCAAGAGACCACAGCCAGTACTGATCCGTCAAAGAAGTTCGGAACTGAAATGCCCTGCCCTTGACCAATCTCTCCCCACCCTAATACCATGCCGCAAGAATCTTCCAGATCTTCCTCATAGGTCGAATTCGCAAAGAGCTTGCCTTAGAACAACATGTAAGAATCCCGCGGTCGTGGGGAATCAGGCTGGCAACGTCATTACGGAGCACTGACATCATGACTATATAGTACGGAAGCACTGATGCTGGCAACATCGCGTTTCGAGCTTTGCATACATTTTGACAAGTGACGAAGCCAGTGGGCTCATCACCAGCAATGGTTGTCAGCTTGGATCTCCAATTGAAGCTATAGGCCAAGAGTTCGGGCCTGAAGAAAGGATATACATGCACAAGACTTGGTGGCGAAATGAGGTGGTTAGTCCTTCAGGTCCAGTGCCGAATACTCCTGACTGCTCGCAGTGCCCATGAGCGTCCGATTTAGGGCCTGCAATGGGCACCCGATTTAGGGCCTTTGGTTGGCTCACTCTTTCTCGACGTGTCTTGCACCATAGGGGTGGCCACTTGGCAGAAGACGAAGCGAAAGTGTCTTGCTTCCCCCCCACCCAATTGGCCAAATTTCACAACAATTCACCGTCATCCTTTTTCACATGTCAATCATGTTCATTCCCATCATCATGTCGACCGAGCATATGAACCATGCCCAAGCTTGTCCACATTGTTGGTCACATGGTGTTGAAAAAAAAGGTTTGCCCTGCTTAATTTCAGTTCCTTCCTCATGGGGTTCACCCCCGTCGCGCGAGTAGAAATGGATTTGCCCTGCTCCTTATGCTCCGCTGTGAAGTGTGATTTCAAATGATCTTCTCCCGAGGTGGTGACATCTCAGAACAAAAATCGCTGAGCCAACCATTCATAAGCTCCATGCTCCAACCATTCAAAAACATGCCATGGGCAACCGCAACGGGCTCTTCGCATTGCTCTTAAGCGCCCTTGAGGTGCTCGGCTTTTGATCGGGATCTAACTCCGATCGAATGTGAGCAAAAGGAATTCTCACGTGGCTGTGGGTCAAAATCCCGGAACCCTGAATGCCCGTGTCACTCTCCCAAAAGTCTTCCGTTCTATTTATTTTCGGTGGGAAAAACCAAGGCCCCCCCTAGTTTTGCCCCATATCCATATGTTGCGTCACAATGCATCAAGATGCGTCACAGCTGTGTTCACCTTCGAATGATCTAGTATAGCTTGTACAAAAACGAGAGCGATGCATTGCAGTGACATTTCCATCATCTTCTAGTCATCTCCCTGTGCAAAACGAGGGCCAGCCAACAGCGGCACTTGGCTGGTCAGGTTCCGGAGGGTGTCTACATTGCCTGAAACCTCTTGCTCTTAATGTCGACCACTCTGCTTGAACGTGACCGCCTCAAAAATACCTCTGAAGAGATCATGAACAGATTTACGTTTGGGGACCAAGTTAAACTAGGTTCTTTACAAGTAAATAGTGTGTTTGATCTCTGATTCTAAATCAACAGGGTTTACCAGGCCATTGACTTGGAGGGATGTATTTATATACATATAATTTAGTATATTTATTTATTTATTTACTTATTTATCAATCTAACCCATGCCAGACAACACACATGCACATGTACATGTCCCTTTCGATCGATCCTTTTCAGGCTGTCCCAGCTGTCCAAGTGTCCAGCTGCCGACGTGGCCCAGAGCAACTGTCCTTCCTCTTAGACCCTGAGCCCCTTTTGCTTACAAAGGGATTTGCTACTAAACCGCTGAAGGTTCAACACCTTCCTCAGTGGATCCGACAGACCAGCGGTCCGGTGGTCAGTAGTTCACTTTTGGGGCGGCATAAGTCTCCAACGCGCAGCTGAAATCAGCTTTCAGACTGCAGCTTGTTTGAGAACATGAATGGACATGGAACGTGACACAGCAGACCGTGGCGATATGTTGCACGGAAGCAAGTCGGAACGGAGTGAGTTGCTCTTGCCAGAACTGCAGCGCAGCTGGGGTGATTTCTCCTCAGATGTTTGTGGACATCCGGAGGCAAAAGGGGCTCAGATTTAAGAGGCTCCAAGCAGCGATCCACCTCAGATTTTGTGTTTGTGACTTGTTTGTGTTTTGACCAAATGGTGGCTAAAATGAAACAACCTGCAGGTCCTGGGTCTGGCATGGTCTGGCTAGGTCTTATTTTTTCTGCAGAACCCAGCTTAGTTCCTATAGTCCTTTTGGGCGGGCGATCTCCGTTTCCGACATGCAGGATGATGGTCTCTTCGTGCGAGAGTCATCGTGGTTTGACGCTTTCGGTTTAGACATCGAAACAATTGACTTGAATACAACGTATACAGGAATTCACATCAAGCCTGCAGATGCTGGGTCACCAGGGAACTTGAATTTCTGGACTGATGGTTTTGCCTCGTTTTGGTCATGAGAAGCATTGGTCATAATCACATCAGAAAGGCCTGAGCATTTGCTATAGATATGCAGTTATGTTGGCTGTCTCTACATCTCAATACGATGTTCGACGGCGAATCTGGCATGTCCTGTAAGCAAAACAGCACATCGGTCGGCCGGTTGCCAGGATCGGTTGCCAGGACGTTTGTGTTTGGGAAAGCGAGGATCTACCCTCTCTCAAAGGGTCATTGAAGTGGAACTCAACCATTCTTGCGCAAAAAGAACCTAGTTCTTCAAAGTGACCTTTTGATATCTCGGTTTGAGGTCAATTGGGCCTGTAAAGGTCACTTAGGGCGCTCTAACTTTGAAGAAGCTGGAAGGTTCGCTCAGCTTCCGCTATTATGGGAGGTCTTGTCCTGTGGTTTGTGGAACGTGAAGTCTTAGGCACTGCTTAAGAGCTTTTATCCCAGACATTCCAGACACTCCATGTATGGAATGTTTACCTGCATTGACCCCTAACTTCAACCACCACAATGTAAGTAATTATGTCATACATGGAGTTTTTGGGCGTTATATTATCGCTGCATTGATGCAGATGGACATGGGTTTGGTGCGAATGCTCAGTGCGAATGGGCAGAATCCATCAAGTTCCAACGAA